TTTGATATGCATCAAGCCATAGTTAAAACATTTTCATTTTTGGAGGTCATTTAGGTCATTAGAGGTCGTAAGAGGTCATTAGAAGGTCAAACACTGGATTTTTTGCTGCTACTGTATTCCCTGGGTCCCTAGCTTTCGTTTGATGTGCATAAAGCCATAGTTGAAATATTTTCTATTTGTGGAGGTCATTAGAGGTCATTAAAATTCAATTTGATTTTATTTTAGGAATTTTGATCAATAATTATGCACCCAAAAAATTGGAAGATTTGAACCAAAAATGAAGGCAGGCCCCCCCCCCCTACATCAAATGTGCCAACTCCACCATCCCCTTTGACCACTGCAGACATTTAATTTTTTATGTTTGTATAAAACAATCTAATTTTCAAATAAGTATCTATCTAAATTCTAGTTGATTCTAATTAATTTAGAAAAAAGTTCAAAATAATTATATATTTCCAAAAATACTAGTTTCTACGTACATGAGATAGAAGTATGGTTGGCCATCATAAGTCCTGACACACGATGGGAGGTGGCAACATACGGGGACTTCCGGGACAATGCAACCTAATCAATCAATACATCGATCAATTAATCAATCAATTAACAGTGGAAATTTTTTTCAACAAAAGCGTTGTTTTTAGAATTTGAAGTAAAAAAACAGCATTTCGGCTCTGTGCTCAACCATATGCCAAATTCTTATAATATCCATGACTAGTTTTTGTGTTGAAAAAAATGTACTTCTACAATTAAAAAAACGAAAATTTCTGTTCTTCTAGTGTCTTTTCATGTATTTTGATATTTTTCCTTAATTGACAAAATTTGATAAACATCGTCCACATTAATGATCAATGATCATGCTGGATTCAAGTGAGGAAGGGGGGGGGGCGTAACTCGGTTCGCCCCGCCCCCTCAGCATAGTTAAAACAATCAAGAATTCTAAGCATTCAAGATTCCCTGTCTTTTTAAACAGAAGAATTTTTAATTTTGGTTATTTTTATGCAAAAACTTAATGCACCGTTTCAAAACAAGGACAAATTTTTAATTGCAGTTTTGGTTTTTATTTTTCCCCATGGCTCCGGATCCGTGGATCCGAATATCGTTGCGGATCCGGACCATAGAAGCCAAAATGTTGCGAATCCAACAAATCCGGATCCTATGCACTGAATAAATCACTCGACTGAATTTGAACATTTGTATTGAAACTAGAAAAATTTAGAGTTTTTTTTAAAAACTTAAATATTTCAAGATTATGTCCATTTTGTCTCCTGGAAACCATGATATGTATTTTTAACTAAATAAATAATAAATTATATCTCGCGGCTGCTTACCTGAATAGATGCTGGTCCCCAGGGTATAAAGTTTGCAAGTTTTCTCTCGCGAATTCTTTGCAAACTTTTGTGAACCTGTGTCGGATCAACTTCACCCTAAACGTTTAAAAAATATGTAAAAAGAATGTGTACTGTGTAATTTGTATTCATTTAATATCAGTTCTCAAAAACGAATAAAAAGATATAAATGAAAGGTGATATTCTCATAACACTCCCGGTCTTGGTCCTTACAGTTTTGAAACTTATTTATTATTAAAATTATATACCGCATGAAGACAAAAAACCTATATGACTTTTTTTTTTGAGATTAAGTTAGTTTAAATACGGGCATACGATTAAGAAGTTACGTAAAATTTAAAAAAAAAACTGTTCCATAATGAATGTTTATAATCTTGAAATTTTACAAAATCTTCAGTATATCGAGAATAAAGGGATGAGTAAATGAATGTTTAAGGGAAAATGTAGAGAAGTTAAAAAAAATTGCCTTTGTATATAAACTTTGGAATTAAGGGAAAAAGGTACCAAAAACAGGTTTAAAGGTTTAAAGCCGCACAATTCATTTCTTAAAAATTTCAAACTGTCGAAAAAGTGACCAAGTAAATAACGGAAGCTGACCTGGATTATATTAAGGATGGAGATGTAGCAGTCCTTAGTGGCCCTGTCCCTGTCTGTGGCCGTGCTCACCATCATGTTCTTTGGCTGCAGCAGACGACGCATCACGTCCAGGACAGTCGTCTTACGAATATTCACGTGGTCCTATTTAGGTAATAAATAATTAATATATCTTGATGTTACGTTGGAGATATTTAAGTACAGTGCAGGGGTGAATATTTTCTCTGAACATCACTCCCCCCCTATTGAAAATAATTTTTCCCCATATATGAATAGTTTGCACGATAAGCCAATTTGTTTTGAAGGTTAAAAAAATAAAAAATTAAATGAAAAAACATGCCTTCTGATGATCAATTTTTCAATTTTCCCCCCCTCGAAACATGAAAAATATATACCCCTAGAAAGTGAACAATGACGGGATGACCAATGAATTAGATAGAATACAAAGATTGAGACTTAAATGACTTGAGTAGTCTTCCTATTCCCCAGTTATCTTTCAATCATATTATTTTTTTAATTCCATTTCATAAGAAATTGACAAATCAAATCAAAAATTGTTTGGAGACATAAATTAATTTGTGTGAATAACTGTTCAATAAGAGATTAAAAATAATTTAATGCTGAAATTTTATTTTTGCTTTTTTTACTCGAGATTTTTCTTTTAAAAAAAAGAATACATTTTTCCTAGCTTTATTTTTCTTTTCATGGGAGTTTCTTAAGTTTTATGTGAAGAATATTACCGCAGTCTTAAATAGTCTCAAAAATTCTATTCTTGGCCATGTACATTGTACAAAAAAAATAAGTAACTGGCAACTTTCAATCAATAAATCAATCAGAATTTCAGGGACGACATGCTTCTAACATCTTTAAGCTGATGTGAACTCACTAAATCAAGAGTTATTAGTCTGATCTTGCTTAAACTTAACTGTAATTAATAAATACTTTCTTATTCTTTCTCCCTTCCTAGATTTTCAACTACCTGATCTGTTGTCAGAGGTGTGTATCCTGTCATCAGAAAGTGTAACCTTAAAATTTGAAAAGCTAAGTTAGATTTATATTTAATGGTATTTATCAGAGTTTTAAGGAGACCCAACTTCCTCCATCTCAAACCCAAAGTGTATTCTATCAAAAAAAATAATATGGCCTTGCAGACGTTTATGTTAACATACTAATTTAATTCATTAATTTCTCTACATCCTACATATATTTAACTTTTCTGTATGTCTGTATCCAATTAAGTCCATTCAGAACTGATTGGGCCCAATTTTTTGTAGGAAGTAGCAACTGACATGCCCCTAGGGTTTATAATTATTAATTATTATAATTAAAAAAATTTTCCGTGGAAAAAATGTCAATTTTTTTTTACAAAGAAAAAACGGCGACTTGAGGATCAACAATCAAACGCTAAATTTGTTCATAGAAAAATAAAGCGCGAAACGTACTAGTCTAGTATCTATATATTATATAATTCTATGTACTGTACTTTCTTTACTTAAATTAAGCACGATAGCAAAATAAAACCCTAGGGATATTTTATTGGTATAATAATACACGTATACAAGTACATGTTGTTAATTATATCAAAATCTATAAACTTAAATATACGGGCGAAAAAAATCTGATGATTTTATTCAGGACCAGATGTCTATTTGATGTAAGGAAATAAGTTTTCATATTCAGATGGAAAGTATTCTGAATTCAGTTGCAATTCATCAAACCCAGGAGATGGAAGAAGGAATCAAATCCATGAAATCAGTTTCTATGAAGGGCGGAAATATGGATGGGAATTGGTATGATGGAGTCAAATAGAAAAAGCAAAATAAAGATTGGTAAAGGGAGAGACTGGCTAGACATGAAAGTTGATCTCAAAGTATATAATTTTAAAATAAGAGTTTAACGTCGTTTGTAATATTTCATTATTTGTTTCAGTCAGCAGAATAACCGTTTTTTACAATTACAAAATAACCCGCACAAGTCTTGTAAATAAATTATTTCATTGACTAATTACTATTACGGAACATAATTCTTAAAATAATTTATCAATAACCGTAGAATTGACTATTTCGAATCATCATTAACTTTGCTGTTTCTACATTTTTTTTTGCAGATTTCTTCAAAATGTCGTCTTCGCTATTAAAATAAAGAAAATCTTCAACAAGCGACCCTAGCTGAAAGAATTTGCATGAACCTACCAGATTTTAAGATAAATTTAAATAACTTATTTTTAATGATGTTAAGTTCATTATTTTTCTCAACCTGTTTTTACATGCAACTAGTTTGTAGTATTCGATACATGTCTTGTCCATGTTAATTAAGAATTGTAAAAAAACGTTTCTTCTGCTGACTGAAGCAACTGGAGAAATGTTACAAACGACTTCCGATATCTCCATTTAAAAGAACGTGTACTTTCGTGTACTTCACGAAACTGAAGAAGACAAAAATAATGTAGAGGTTTCCTCCGAATTATACATATTTTGTTTAACAAACCAAACCAAAGGAATGAATATTTGATCGGGATAAATACTTGAGGTCAGGAATGAATTACGATTGCAATTTTAAACCAGTGGCCGAATTTAAAGAATTTGAGCGGCGGTTTAAATTTAAGCCGCGGTTTAAATATGGTTGGTTCCACTTAAATTGTATTAAATGTTTCATGGTTTAAGCCGGCGCTTAATTTAAACCGGGTTTTGGCGGATTTAAACCGCGGCTCAAATTCTTTAAATTCCATCTCATGACACATAAATGAATTATTAATGTGTATGCAAAGATGAACGTATGCCTGGGATGAATACCTGGGAGTAGGGATGAGTGGAGAGATGAGACCAATTAAATCATTGTTCATAAAGGACGGATATCTCAGGGTGGTGGTAGATACAGACCTTGAAATATATCATCAAATGTAAGTGCTGTAAAAAGTTAGTATTTTAAATAGATAATTCACATTCCCCGATTTTATTAAAGTCTAAAACGTTAATCAGACGATTATTACTTGCAGTGCTTAGGATCCGGATCCGTTGGAACCATACATTTTAGCTTCCTGGATCCGCCAAAATATGCGGTTCCACGAATCCGGATCCAAGGAGCAAAATATCAACCAAAAATTTTAAATGAAAAAAATATATATTATCAAAAATGTTCTGAATGGTTAATCAAGTTTTAGCTTAAAAATTACCGAGAAAAAAACCAAGATGGATACATAATTTGAAAATTCTTCCTTTTGTTTAAGTAATCAGTAAATCTTTTTTTCTGGGCGGATCCGGGACCCAGATTCTGATCTGCAACAAAATGAAATGGATCCTAATCACTGGATTAATAGATTGTGACTTACATAATAGTAGAGACGAGTTCATTGATCTGAGTGAAGGAGGGATTCTGAATATGTAGTCTTTCAGAGGCAATCCTAAAAATTAAATTATAATAAAATAATCATTACAAAAGTTATCAATTCTTCAATAAGTAAAGTTAAAAAATATGCAGTTAATATTTTTATCCTTGAAGCAATTAAAGCTAGTTTGAGAACATTCCTCAGCCTGCAAGTTATTTTAATGCACGTTTCCGATAATATTTCTTAAAACAAAAACCTTTCTTGCAAGTCCATTTTTTATCAAGATGTTAATAAGTGACTTAAATAAATTTGCTTATGAAATATTTGCTTTTTTAGATAAATTCTAACCTATTTAGAGCAGTATTATCTAGAACTACTACACAGTCTGCACACTGGGTTAATCTCTTGAGTGTAAGAATACTGTTGTAAGGTTGGACGACGACATCTGAAACTCCTATTCCTCCGGCATCACTGGACGTTTCCTAGTATAATAATACAGGGCGTCATAATAAACATGGACATTGAGAGACAACTTTAACGTCGTCTTTGACTTCCGATAACTGATAAATGTCCTCAAAGGCATCAAAAAATATTAAACGTCTACTGAGCTCTCCAAAATGTGGTCTACCTTCTTTGCATTTTAAAAATTGACGGAGATGTTAAACATTAGAACAGTTTTGTTGATTTCGAATTCACTGGAATCTGGAAAAATTTCCTGAACATTTTGAAGGTAAAAAAATGGTAAAACACATTTTGGTAATCCCCAGATTAGTAGTTTTTGGCGTTAAATGTTTTAACTGTGATACTAGAAATTATATTTAAGATATAATCAAGCTTAGAGCAAAGACGATATAGAAGTCGTCACCCTGTATATAAAAATCAGACCAAACATATGATCCAAGGGATATTAGCAGAGGTTTATGTCGTTTTCTCCCACTTTACATAGGGGCCGGTTCATTCATCAATTGGGGATAATAGATGATGTTTAGTGGATATGAATGAATCTAACGAGAAACTTGTTGATTGATTTCTAATTTTTAAATTGTTCCCGAAACCTAATGTTTAAAGAAAACTTCCCTGTTCTCCTGGGGCAGGATTTGTAGGTTATCATACAAAATTAAATTCCATGGCAATTGGATATGAGTTTAAAAGATCTAGATTAGAAATAAAAAAAAACAGAAGAAACATGTTTTAGTAAGTTAAAGTTTAAAAAAAATATTTTTCAGTACAAAACAAGCTAAAATATACCTGATTTGGGAAGACACTGTAAGTTTGCACAAGTTTTTTAGGATATCTGTCCGCTAATCTTTCCAGGACATAACTTCCCATACCTACAAACACAAAGAGTTTTTGTGAAAATTGTTAATGTTGTTTTTATTAAATAAAGTAAAATGCAACAAATAGCATAAAATCAAATAACAATAATCATATTAAGGAGCATTAATTAGAATTCCATTTGCCCTTTAATTGAGTAGTTTAGAAATCTTTATCTATTAAAAATACGAGAAAATTACCAGAACCGGTTCCTCCCGCAATACTGTGTGTGAGAACAAATCCCTCCAGGGAATCTGACCCATCTGCCTCACGGTCTATTATATCAAACACCTCTTCATGTAGACTCTCACCCTGAATTAAATATTACGACATGAGGTGCTCTAAAAAAATTATTGTTTGTCAGAAACAAATGATGAAAAAGTAACCAAAACTATCAAATCCCGGGGAGGGGGGAGACGATATTAAGAAAATAGTAACTATTTTAGTAACAGAACATTTACCTGTCCAAAGCCACTAGCCCAGTTGTTCCCGGCTCCACCTCCATCCTTGGCTAAGTACACGTTTTCAGGGTTGTACAGCTTCTTGTACTCACTAGTAAAATGTATGTTTGTGTACTTCTATAAACGCTTTTTTGTACCGTAAAAATTCCTGTATGTTAGTACTGTGCCAAAAACTCAAAAAACTCCGGTCAGTACTTAATTAACAACTAATGGTATTTTTTTCATCTCACGTTAGTTCATTATTTACAATTCAACTACTCCAAGTATACTTTATTAAGGACTTGATTAACTGTATTACAACTGTGGTTATTAAATCAAATATTGTTTTTACTCGTACTAGAATACTTATTATGTATGTAAATGTATTCTATAAACTTTTGTAGATACCAGACTATGAGCTTCTGTATGTATGTGATTGTGTACCGTATTTAATATACTGTAGAATAGCCTATGTCAAAATCAGTCAACTTTTGGTACAGAAAAGAGTGGTAGCTAATGCCCAAGGACAAGTTTATTAAACCAATGTTTTTTTTTAATGACCCTAAGGGTCCTTGCTAGGGCCCTGCCCCTAAAGTTGGAAAAACGGCGTTTTTTTGTGATTTTAACGATTTTTCAAGGTCCTTATACATCAAGCAATCTTAATTTGTTTTCTTCCTCTATAATGAACATGATGTTAACTAACATAAAAAAAATAACTCTTCTAATATTTATTCCCAAATCTCCGAAAAAAAAATCAAAAAATGAAGATTTTCAAAAAATCTCGAAAATTCATGATTTCCATTTTCCATCTTACATCCATACTCAGGCTTATACACCTACAAAGTTGGACATATCATATATCCATACTCAGACATACTCAGACATACTCAGACATATATACCTAGACAGTTACACATATCATGCATACGTACTCAGACATATATACCTAGACAGTCAGACATATCATGCATACGTACTCAGACATATAAACCTAAACAGTTAGACATATCATGCATACGTACTCAGACATATATACCTAGACAGTTAAACATATCATACATCCGTACTCAGACATATATACCTAGACAGTTAAACATATCATACATTCATACTCAGGCATATATACTTAGACAGTTAAACATATCATACATTCATACTCAGACATACATACATAGACAATTAGACATATCATACATCCATACTCAGACATACTCAGACATATATACCTAGACAGTTAGACATATCATGCATACGTACTCAGACATATATACCTAAACAGTTAAACATATCATACATTCATACTCAGACATATATACATAGACAATTAGACATATCATACATCCATACTCAGACATATATACAGGGTGGCCATAACTTTTTTGAACCCATCCGTACAAAAATCCGTACATTTTCAGAAGAAATCCGTACATTTTTTTAAAGATCCATACATTTTTTTAAAAAATCTGTACAATCAGCACAATTTTCGAAAAAAATCCCATTTTTGAAAAAAAAACACATTAAAATTCAATTTTTCATTCATTGTCTTTTGTGTTCAGTTCATGTAAGAGGGTTTAAACTTCTTCAGCAAGAATCAATCTGTAAAAAATTGGCTTCATACATATATACAAACTAAATACTGGGTACATGATACTAGGTGCATGATACTGGATACTGGATACATGATACAGGGTACATGATACAGGATACAGGATAC